CTACTACACGGGAATTCCAAATGTTCTCCTGGACATTTATCCTAATCCTAATATCCCTTGATGTCAATTGGAGCTTCACTCACATGTGAAGGTGGTACCTTGTCACCTCTGCAGACTTAAAAGTGAGGCTCACTGTCTTCCCCAAAGGGGAGCAGAGCATGTTCTATGCCAAGTGAATCAGAAACGAACAGCAGACTGATTTATGAATGGATAAGAAAAACAATTCCTAGACTGAAGAGGCATAAAACCAGCTGAAGCTGAGGGAAAGAGCATTTTTCCCTCATAACTCATATTGAGGATTTTCATCTCATAAAACTTTTGAGCACTTTTGTGGTAACTTACTACTCAATTTTACTATCAGCATACGATTTAAATCGCTTTAAACATACTGATATATCACCTGCACTAAAATAGTTATAGCTCACAAATACTATACTAAAATAACAACATGAAGAAATGATATATTCCGCATGCCATCTGGCATTACGACTTTTGGTAAAAATCACCCATTGCTTGGGATAGATACGTCTGAACGGTAAGCAGTGACTGCAGGATGGCCCGGAACAGGAGGCCAGAGCGGTATGAGGCGCAGAGCGTGTGCGCGCGGCAGGGCTGCACCTCCCCGCAGCCCAGGGAGGCCCCTCCCTGGAAGGTGGCAAGTGTTCCTGCCGCCAGCTGTTACTGCAGAGATTGAGTGCTGCAGGAAGAGGAGGACTGCGGAGCAGCAGGTGCGATGCAAGAACGACGTGAGCCCTCCCTGCATTCACACCATTCTTATTCCAACTCATCTGAAATATTCTGGTCTGTTAAACAGGCGAATGCATAAGGACAGACATTGCCCAAGCAATAATAATGCTGAATATTATTCATTAAAACTCTTGAGCCAGTTGAACACTTTGCATGCATCAAAACAGCTGTTCTGCTCCGTTCTTCCCTCTTATTCCTGCCTGTCTTCTGAAACAAGTACTTAAACATTTCATGAAGTTTTTCCATAAAGATCATCAGAATTTTGGTTTTCTTTTAATTCTCTTACTCTCAAGGTTTAGGCACACAAAAGCTCTGTGAGTTCTTGGAGGTGAAGTGCAGAGTCAGAACACCGCTAGAGACTTCGTCCGTGTCTATTTACTGGGAAACTCAAATCTTCAGCAATAAAAAACAAACAAAAAAAAGCTCCACAACCTCCTGCCTGGTTCTTTGGCCAATGGAACCCAGAGTCAAACTTGGTTGCTCTCCCTAACTATAAAGCTGATTAGCAATAAAGATTTCCTAATGGCAAAGCAGAATGATGAAGCAAAGGCTTTTTCTCTTCCTTATTAAAAAAAAAAAAAAAAAAAGGAGAGAGATAAAGAGAGAGAGAAATTGACCAACTCACTCAGGTTTCCTCTGCATAGGGGCTTTCTTTTTCAAGATATTTAACCCACAAGACTTAAAGCTTAAATCAGTCATATACTACAATGTTGCTTTCAGAGAACTGTTTGTACCAGATTCTTTTCCAAGAGTGAACATTAGCCTCGAGTCCTATCAAAGCCTCAACTTTCTCATAGTTTGGGATTGTGGGTTTTTTTGAATATTTGAACTGAAAAATATAGGTGCTTGCAGCTGCAAACAGGGAAACAGATTTTTAAATACTTTAATTACACAGCTAGCTAGCTAGCGCCAAATCCAGAGGAGCATTTCCGGATCATATTTGAAACACGATCAATTAGGCACTGCAAAACTATACATCCAATAC